GCTTCACCATTTGGATCTTTTTCTTTCTTCTTTTTCCCTTCAACTGCTTAATTATGGCTCATTATGAGGTTATGCATCCGTTTGTCCGTATTTTTCTGGCAAGCAGAAATCCTGATTTTGATCATGCTCCTTGCTTAGTATTAGTTTTGGACATTTAATTTGTTTTTCTTTTGAGGCAAGTTCCACTCTTGCTCCAAAGTAGCACGGAGGTGAATGCCAGTTGGCAGTATGCATGCTGCCTCTCTGGGCGCTTGCTTTCCAGCCCCAGCTTGAGGCATGCTCCTCTCCACTGCGCTGGAGCCTCCAAAGGTGTCTGGGAGATGGGGCTGGTGCCTTACTCAGGGTAGACCTACCCATGGCTTGTGGCAGAAGTTGGAAGTCTTTCATGTGCTGGATATTGGCACAGGAGTAACAGTGTGGCACTGGTGGGCTTTTCCAGGGTTCACTCCACCTTTGGGATCTTCTGTACCTTCTCACCATTCCATGCAGACTGAGTCCTCCACTTGCTTCTCTTGCTTGCATCGGTGGGGTGCAGGACAAAGCCACTCAGTGCCTTCCCTGAGGTGCTAGCTGTAGGCTTAATACGTTGCCTGGAGGGTTAAAGTACAGAAAGCACTGATTCCAAGCAGCATCTCTCATCTGCCCTAAAATCTGAATTTGCCAGGCAGCACTGGGGTATATGGAATGTTTTTCAAAGCTCTTGCATACACAGGAAAAAAGGCTTTGGTTGGATGCAACAGAATACAATTCCCCTTCGGGGCTGAGCATGACACATGCTTGCGTAGCAGCTAGTGCCTTTGCTCATGCTCATCAGCTGAAGTGTCACTTTTTCCCCCCAAACCAGCATCCTTTGGTTAAAGCTTCCTGGGGGCTGAGGGGCACACTGCGGGGGGGTGAAAGGAGGGTTCAGACAGAGTAGTGCAGGTCTGGCTGGGGTACATGGGATGGCTGGGGTACTTCAAAGTGCGCGGATGGCAGCGGCCAAGTGCGCGGCCCCGGGCTGAGCTCGCGGGGAGTGCATTTTCGCTATTATTTCAATTATTACAACTTCCTGAATAGGTTGAAGGTCGTTCATAATTCACGCTTCTGTCATCTTTACACATGCCAAATGCAGTCTATTAAGCATAAATAAAATTTCAAGTGCCTGACCAGGAAAAGTAAACTGGGATCCATAACAATGAGGCCTTATTCATCCATTTAAAAGTAAATGGTGTGTGTTCCTTTTTTCCCCCCCCTCCGCTTTCCCTTTACAGCTTTGCAGTTTGGGAGCTTTTATTTCTGCTCGGTAGCATGAATACATGACCTGTGGTGTAGGCAGGCACAGAGGACTGATGAGTTAGGCCTCCCCCAACTTCTCCCCACCTCAGACCCCCTGAACTTTGAAAGTGTTTCCAGATCTGGATCCGATTTTGCTCTTCCTATATAAACTGCAGTCACACACTGCTGATCCCAGGGCATGTGAAATGTGCATCTGGACTTCGCTTTTATTCCCCCCCCCCCCAGCTCTGGTTGTTCCTCTACTGTGCAGCAGCTCTTCCTGTACTTCTTGAGGCAGACTGCTGTGCGCTCTCACGTCGCGAGCACAGCTTAACCCGAGAAAGTCAGGTAACAAAATGGGCTTGGTAGGCTGAAGAAGTGATAGAAAATTGAAACCTTTCATTAATTACCAGTAGAGTCAGGGCTGTGTCCAAGAAATCTTCAAGCTTTGCAATTGAAAAGTCCGCTTACTTTACGTTAGCGTTTTCTAATACAAAAAATACTGTCTGTGGTAGAGGTTGCTGTTGTTGCAAAACAGGGGCAGCCAGGAGAGGACCTGCAGGGCTGTGGGGTAATTTATGAACTTTCCCATCTGGAGGCTTGCAGGACCCACGCACTGTCTGCCCTTGGTAGGCTGCTGCTACCTAAAAACTTGGACAGCATGGTTCATTTCAACAGTTAGCTTCTCACTTTTTCTCAGACTGGATAATTCCAGGAAGTTTTAGGTGGGAAGACTGAGAAAAAAGGTTTTCTTGTGAAGTAAGAAGTACAGCTCTTAAAATGAAATTAAATTTACCTGCACGATCATTTTGGTTGAAAGTTGAGTATGTTTTATTTTAGATCCACACTGGAATGCAGTCTGGTATATAAACTGTTAGTGCAGGTTAGGGATTTTTGTACATACAGAAATTTAAAAAACTATTTTCAGTAATAATAATTAAAGTTAGTATTTTAATTATAGTAATGTCAAAATGCCATAAATCTGGAAATCCGTCACTTGGACCTTGTTTTGAAGAGTGTTAGTTCTGAGATGCAAAATAAAGAAACATCATTTAACCTAAATCATGATGGATTTTAGCATATTCCACCTTGTCACCCTGCAGAGGTGCAGAGAGGCTGGCCAGGTAGTTTCTGGTGGGTAGCTTAATCATCTCTGGTATTTTTGAATACTAACACAGATAGGACAATTGGCTGCAGAATTTACACCCAGGTTAGGGATTTGTCCCACAACTGCAAGAAAGATGCTGCATCGGACTTGGGGCTCCCAAAGAGAAGTGATACGCAGCGCTTCACAAACAAGACCCTCTTTATGCCTATGTACAGTCCACGTGTCCTCACGTTGTGATGGGAGGTGAAAAGGTCTATCAAAATACCTTTGATGGGGGAGGAAAAATGCTGGAGAAGGCTTTGCTGTGGATTTTGTTCAATCCTTGGTGTGGATGCACTGCTGACCTCAGAAGAACAGCTGAGTTTATGTGACTGTGACACAGAACCTGGGAGCACTGAGGCAAGTCCTGGGCAGAGCTGTCCTGGGCAGAGCAGGAGCTTTAGCACAGTCCCTCTGAGCTGAGATGGTGGAGGCCCCACCTGGCTGTGCGGCGGGCCTGATCCTGCTTCCACCCCAGGGAGGTCTGCAGAAGTCTCTCATGTGAATGTGCAATGCCATACACACATTTTTTCCACCCCAAAACCAGATGGCAACCAGGCTTGTCTTCCACAGATTGGACTGCATCTTCCCTTTCAGATGTGTAGAGGCCATCATACTTCTGGAAGAAAAAAGCCATTTTTCAGTGCATTTATCTTGATAAATGGAAAACCAAGCATCGCTTAAAGCAGATATTCACTGGATGCGGCGCTGACATCAAATCTGCTTGTGGGCGTTAAAAGCTGTCTTCGCCTAAATGCATTTCAGCCTTTCATCAAGTGTGCGTTGCCTCAGCTGCATCTCCAGCATGCTGAAGCCCATGCGGCAGCCCTGCGTCCTTTGGCATCGATGGTGGCATCAGCTCCAGAGGGGATTGTGATACCAGGCATTTGCTCAGCTGCATGAAGAGACATGCGCGAGACCCTGCCATTGCTCTCTTGGCCCCTTGCACCCTTCAGAATACTCTGTGGAGTTTGAAATCCCTTTGACAAGGGGTAAAAATGGCAAGTTCTTGCAGACCCAGCTGACGGTTCAAACAGGGCGGTATGGAAGAGGAAGGAGGTGCAGCCTGGCCAGACTGGCCTGCCCCTAAACACCCTCCCCTCGGCTTTTTAG